CAGTGTCCTTTGGTTTTGGAGTTGTAGTTCACCTAAATCCAGAGATCACTGTGGACTCAAATAATGATGGATCTGGACCAAACTATACACAAATACTCAATATGCCCATTATGCCCAAATGGGAACACTGGTAGAGTTTGGGGAAAATAGAATCTATTTGGAAGTTGTAGTTGCTGGGATTTATAGTTCACCTACAATCACAGAGCATTCTGAACCCCACCAACGATAGAATTGGGCCAAACTTCCCACACAGAACCCCCATGTGGGCCACAGTAACACGTGGCAGGGGACAGCTAGTATATATATAATTTTAGCCCACCAGAGGAAGGCCTGGAGTGAGGCCAAAACCAGTCGTGGACTACGGATTTAAGTTCAACTCAATGCAAGAACATACAGCGTTGATACTTTTTTGAGTGACTGTACCAAACACATATAATATTGTTTTGTGAATGCTATGTTTTGGAACTGTATAATAAGTTTCACCAGTCACATTATTGGCTGAACTGATTTATTTTTCTTTCTGTGTACAAGTGGGCTATTGTGTTGTATGTATCACTTCTGACCTATACAGTAGCTTGGTGCAAAAAAATATATAAAGGTTTTGTGGAAATGCTTACCCAGGTGGTCATTCCCCTTGATGAGAACCGGGCAATGTTATCCTCAAAGTCAATGCCGCCCACACCAATCACATCCATTTGGTCAGCAGGATTATTGAGCGTGCTGAAATGAGTATTTATATTTGCTGTTTATCTATTTAACATATCTCTGTCTGTACTTCTGCAAGGAGATGAGGACAACATTCAAAATTCTCACCCTCACCCCCACCCCATCATAACCTTTTTCTTTAACCCTCAAGATTATGATGTGAGATGAGACAAGAGGCGCGCACACAGCTAAAGAAGATCACTAATTCTTTTGGCAAACATTTCCAATTCACTGTTCTACAAATTTTCAGTTTTTCTCAGTTACGTAAACGAAATGTGCCATTTCTTAATAAATTTAACATGCTGAATTCAAATATAATAATTAAATGTGTTAATTGGCTCTGGTTTTTATGCAACAGCTATTTCAATTTTCTCCACAATAGGTAATTCGTTAATATTATGATAATGTGCCTAACCTTACTGCATGTATATAAACCGTGAATATTTACTAAATTTTAGTCAAATTATATTGCCAATAGTTTATACATGAGAAATATTTATTTAATTAGTCTATTGTTTATGTTTGTGCAGCAAGAAACTATATTAGTAGGCCTAATGCAGTTGAAAAGTCTGAAAACACAAGAATGGCCATCAGACTGGAAAAAATCAACTTATATCCCCATACCAAAAAAGGGAAATGCGAAAGACTGCTCAAACTTCCGTACAGTGGCCCTTATTTCTCATGCCAGGAAGGGAATGCTCAAGATCCTGCAAGGAAGACTCCAGCAAGACATGGAGCGAGAGTGGCCAGATGTTCAAGCTGGGTTTAGAAAAGGCAGAGGAACGAGAGACCAGATTGCCAATATCCGGATGCTGGAGAATGGAGAAAGGCAGGGAGTTTCAGAAAACATCTATTTCTGCTTCATTGACTATTCTAAAGCCTTTGACTGTGTGGATCATAATAAATTGGGGCAAGTTCTTGGTGGGATGGGCATCCCAAGCCACCTTGTCTCTCTCCTGAGGAATCTGTACAAGGACCAAGTAGCAACAGTCAGAACCGACCACGGAACAACAGACTGGTTCAAGATTGGGAAAGGCGTCCGGCAAGGCTGCATCCTCTCACCCAACCTTTTCAACTTGTATGCAGAACACATCATGCGAGGATGTGCGGGGCTTGATGAATGCAAAGCTGGGGTGAAAATTGCTGGAAGAAACATTAACAACCTCAGATATGCAGATGACACCACTCTGATGGCCGAAAGTGAGGAGGAGCTGGGGAGCCTTCTAATCAAGGTGAAAGAAGAAAGTGCAAAAGCTGGGTTGCAGCTAAACATAAAAAAAATCAAGATTATGGCAACAAGAATGATTGACAACTGGGAAATAGAGGGAGAAAACGTGGAGGCCGTGACAGACTTTGTATTTCTAGGTGCAAAGATTACTGCAGATGCAGACTGTGGCCAGGAAATCAGGAGACACTTACTTCTTGGGAGGAGAGCAATGTCCAATCTCGATAAAATAGTAAAGAGTAGAGACATCAGACTGGCAACAAAGATCCGCCTAGTCAAAGCCATGGTATTCCCTGTAGTAACCTACGGATGTGAGAGCTGGACCTTAGGGAAGGCTGAGCGATGGAAGATCGATGCTTTTGAGCTGTGGTGTTGGAGGAAAGTTCTGAGGGTGCCTTGGACTGCGAGAAGATCCAACCAGTCCATCCTCCAGGAAATAAAGCCCGACTGCTCACTGGAGGGAAAGATACTAGAGACAAAGTTGAAGTACTTTGGCCACATCATGAGGAGACAGGAAAGCCTAGAGAAGACAATTATGCTGGGGAAAGTGGAAGGCAAAAGGAAGAGGGGCCGACCAAGGGCAAGATGGATGGATGGCATCCTTGAAGTGACTGGACTGACCTTGAAGGAGCTGGGGGTGGTGACGGCCGACAGGGAGCTCTGGCGTGGGCTGGTCCATGAGGTCACGAAGAGTCGGAGACAACTGAACGAATGAACAACAACATGCAGTTGAAAAGTCTGAAAGTTTAAATGTCGCTTTAATCGTGACTTTAGTTTTTATCCTGTTTGCTTCTCTTGACTTTTCTTTTGTATTCAAGGAAAGGATTGTCTCTTCCAATGCTCCAGCAGTAGTCTGACAGCATTGACGGAGTCCATTTGCCTTGATATCTTTTTTCCATAGTGCTTTATTTACACACGTGCGAGGCAGAACTACAGTAAAAAGAACAATGTAAAACGATGTTTAACGATACTGTCTCAGTCTTCAACTGACTGACCCTCACCGTTCAAAAGTCTGGCCTTATATAGGGCTTTCTGGCTTTTGCACACGGCACTAATACTGTGTCATCAAACTTTCTAGAGTATTCTAGAATCTTCCATAGTGTAAGTCGCAAATGCATTTTTTCAACCATATGTCATCACGTGATTGCTTATATCATAAAAACTAGAGCCAATATACATTTTTAAATGTCGTTTTCGTTTTCAGCACCCCAAAATCATAAAAGAACAGCTATTTTCAGGCCCGAAACTTTTTCTCCGTTGAACAGTTTAATTAATTAATAATTATCCATGCTGCAGTTTAAGCTCACATCTGAAGGATCAATATTCCTGAAGAGAAGTCAAAGTACCAATTTACTTAGAGGGAAGGCACTCTTGCCACCATTATTGTTATTTGTGGGGAGGAGGAGGTCTTTTTACATTATTTATGAACAAGAAAAAATATGTAATCAATGGAAGTTACTCCGCACGGGCACATCATTAGCAGAAGGTTACAGAGGGACTTACCCATATAAAGGGCCGTCGTTCCCAATAGCAGAAACCATGATCACATTGTTGGCTGTCAGTTCCCACACCTAGAAAATTAGAACTGCTTTACTGAATGATATCTAGTTCTACTATTAGGAGAGAAGAGTATTTCTCCTCTTTCTCCTCATTTTATACACTTTGATCATACCCCCCGTCCCATAAATTTTCTTTTTTTCCAAACCAAATAACCAAAACATCGCAAGATTATATTTTAGCTTTCATCTAAGTTTTCAGAGTTTCTTCAAACAGGCAGGTGAATGGAAAGAACCCTACGATTTATGAAAAGGAAAGACACAATTTAAGTCATTGTGTCTTAATGCTCTGATTTTGCATAAGCATTATGCATTGAATATATAAAAGGCAACACATCTATATATATAAAAATGCTCTGTGCATAATGAGTACCTTAAAAACAAAAGAACCAATGAACGAAATCACACCACATTTGGCAACAAAACGTCTCACTACATATGGAGTGACTATCACACAAAAATTATGATTTTGTCATTTGGGAGTTGTCGTTGCTGGGATTTATAGTTCCCCTACAATCAAAGAGCATTCTGAACTCCATCAACTATGGAATTGAACCAACCTTGGCACACAGGACTCCTCTGACCAACAGAAAACACTAGAAGGGTTTGGTGGGCATTGACCTTGGGTTTTGGAGTAGTAGTTCACCTACATCTAGAGAGCACTGTGGATAAACAATGATGGATTGGGACCAAACTTGGCACAAATACTCAATATGTCCAAATATAAACACAGATGGAGTTTGGGAGAAATAGACCTTGACATTTGGGAGTTGTAGTTACTGGGATTTATAGTTCACCTACAATCAAGGAGCATTCTGAACCCCACAAATGACAAAATCGGGGCAAACTTCCCACACAGAACCCTCATGACCAACAGAAGATATTGTGTTTTCTGGTGGCCTTTGGTGACCCTTCTGGCCCCCCTTGCAACTCTCCAGGAGTCCCAAACCCCACGTTGAGAAATACTGCCTTAAGGCCATCCAGTCCAACTCCCTTCGCCAGGGCAAGGAAACATAATCAAAGCCCTCCTGACAAAGGGCCATCCAGCCATTCACACACAAACATATACATATATGACAGATGGAGTATCAAAGATTTTAAAGGGACCCTTAAAGAAGGACAATGATATGTTGCATGTTCCAAAGTAGGCAAACCAGACAATCTCCACATCAACACTGGCAAAGAAACAGCAAGAAATACTGTTTACCCACAAGCATAAAGACATTACATATATTAGAAACCAACACTTTCTCGTTACTTTATTTTCCAGATCACCAGACTGGGCCACAGCAACGCGTGGCAGGGGACCGCTAGTACATTTACAAAAACCTTAGAGATACAAGACGAGATGTACTGATCTATCAAGTTCAGCATTGTATTTCTGCTGTGTTCCCAAAGCAGCATATCAACATAAAATCAACTAGTATGAAGACCTTTACCACCTGAGATAAGTAATCTATCAAATATAATGTCGTACACCAAAGCAGGAACACCTCTGACCTTAAACACCCCATCAGCTTGGTAAACTAAAATAGCCCATAAACTTCAAGGGAAAACATAAGTACATAAAAATCCATGAAACTAGCACTTTAATCCATGGAACAAGACAGCATGAAAAATATCATAGAGAAATCTTAAACTTGGCAAAAACTTGGTACATGAAACTAAGAGCACTTGGAAGCAAGATCATGATCAAATTCCAACGTTGACTTGACTGGGGCAATTACCTCCCATGAATCATTATAAAGGAAAGCACTTCTCTTGACCTTAACACCAGATAAATGTTTGTTATCTCTCTTTTGCTGTAGACCAGTGTTTCTCAACCTTCCTAATGCCATGACCCCTTAATACAATTCCTCATGTTGTGCTGACCCCCAACCTTAAAATTATTTTCGTTGCTACTTCAGAACTGTAATTTTGCTACTGTTATGGCTCGTTGTGTAAATATCTGATTTGCAGAATGTATTTTCATTTAATGGACCAAATGTGGCACAAATACCTGGTGAGGTTGCAGGGGGAGGGGGGATGTATTGATTTTGTCATTTGGGAGTTGTAGTTGCTGGGATTTATAGTACACCTACAATCAAAGAGCATTCTGAACTCCACCAATGATGGAATTGAACTAAACGTGGAACACACAACTCCCATGACCAACAGAAAATACGAGAAGGGTTTGGTGGGCATTGACCTCGAGTTTTGGAATTGTAGTTCACCTAAATCCAGAGAGCACTGTGGACTCAAACAATGATGGATCTGGACTAAACTTCAGATCCTCAATATTTCCAAATGTGAACACTGGTGGAATTTGGGAGAAATAGAGCTTGACATTTGGGAGTTGTAGTTGCTGGGATTTATAGTTCACCTACAATCAAAGAGCATTCTGAACCCCACCAACGATAGAATTGGGCCAAACTGTCTACACAAACCCCCATGACCAACAGAAAATCCTGTGTTTTCTGATGGTCTTTGGCGACCCCTCTGAAACCCCTTCGCGACCCCTCCAGGGGTCCCAACCCCCAGGTTGAGAATCGCTGCTGTAGACAGACTGATCCTCTCAGTCTCTGCAGACTCTGCCTCTGTTTACTAAAACTCTGCTTTCTATCTAAAATTTCATTATCTTCTCTCTCATTAGCTTCTGCACCTGACAAATCGCCCCAGGGCTGAGAAGAGCAGTATACAAATATAGTAAATAAATCATCTTCAGACAGTTGCTCTGAGAAAAGCTGTGAAGGGCCCCTCCCAAGAATGTGGCCTTGTGAGTCCTCCTGGGACAGTTCGGGCCTTTCGTCTGAACTTAACTCAGGACCCAGTGAACCCTCGTCCCCAAAGACAACAGACCCCAGCCCACCATCAGGAACATCATCCCCATTCCCATCATGAACATCAGCATGAACATCAGAAACATCAGACACAATCACACACTGAACAGGTTGACATACAACATATAATTATATTGACCTTGTCAACAAAGGGGTGGTCCATGAAGTCGGGCCCTCCAATACTAAGGTTTAATACATCTATTTTCTTCAAAATGGCATAGTTAAAGGCATCCAGAAACCAAGAGGTGTATGAGACCTATATGAGGCAAAAATCATGTTAACACTGATTAATATTTAAGGAGGAAAACATTAAAAAAAAACTACACACATAACCTCCACCTCTCCACCTCACAAAAGAATGTTTCAATGGAGGCAATATATATATATTCTGATCATAAATTTTACATTTCCAAATAGGGCTTTTGGAGTAAATATTTCAAACTGTATGTTAAGAAAGAGCATCTCATTTAATTGCTTTAACTGTTTATTTCTAATACTGGTAATATTTAATTCTATTTTAATGCTTGTATGTTTTTTGGTTTTACGTTGTATTGTACCAGTATTGTATCAGTCTCTTTTTTTGAGAGAAAAAGCGGGGTATAAACAATTATTATTATTATTATTATTATTATTATTATTATTATTATTATTATTAGAGAATTGCAAAATACAGACTTTTCAAAACATTAATCTGAAAATCCCAGAAAGAAAGATTCTCTAGAGAGAACAAATCCTATTGTATCTCTCATTCCATAAGATTTTTATTGAGGGGAACATATACAGCATACCTGATTGTTGGTGAAAACGCGAAATATGTGCAGCTCTGAGTCAGGAGCAAAACCTTGGCATTCTCTCATACTTGCGATCACACCTGCTACAAAAGTTCCATGACCCAAACCTATTGAACATAATATAAAGCAGATTACAACAAAAGCTCAACATGATGGCTTGCAGCCAATTGCTAGTGCCAATTAACATTTTAAGAGATTTACAGAAGTGCTTACTTAACTTATGAGAGCATTCAAGGTCTTGTACGAGACCAACCATACTGTGATTCTTCCTTCACCCACCTATCATTAAATCATAATACTGTACTTCATTTTGAGTGACGCAAACTAAATAATGAAACTCACCGTCATCCAATGTTCTCTCATTTGTCCAGTTTGTTCTCTCTTTTACATTTTTGAAGTGAGGATGTTTCTCGCTCAGCCCAGTGTCAAAGACAGCCACTTTCACCCCAGCTCCTATATGAAATCACATGGTAAACAGACAATGCGGTTACTTAGGAGAGAAGGCTAATAAATAAATAATTATTAATATTATACTTTGTTTACTTGGATTTTATGACTATATACTCATGCATTGGATTAATGTTTTTCTGGATTATATTAGAGAAGCGTAGACTTTGTTTTCTTGGACTTTGCTGAGCTTTACCCTGGACTATTTTGTTCCTTCTTATCTTCTTACCTAATTGGATTTACCTATTTCTTTAAAGTGCTTTTTACTTTGCTGCTTTTTAATTATCTCCAATAAAAGGATTGTTTTCCTATTAAACGTGTGGTGTTTAAAGTCAGAGGGCTTTTCCTGTCCTGGAGTGCAACAGTGAAGTCTGTTGGAAACGAGGCAAGTGAGATTTATATATCTGTCCAGGTGGGAGAAAGAGCTCTTGTCTGCTTGAGGCAAGTGTGAATGTTGCGATTGGCTACCTTGATTACCATTTCATGGCCTTGCAGCTTCAAAGCCTGACTGATTCCTGGATGGGGGAATCCTTTGTTGGGAGGTGATTAGCTGGCCCTGATTCTTCTCTGGTTGCCATTTGCAACATTTACAGTTCTCTCAAGCAGACAAGAGTTCTTTCTTCCACCCTGGACATTGCACAGATATATGAACCCACTTGCCTAGTTTCCAACGTTCCCCTCAACCTCTGAGGATGTGGGTGAAATGTCAGGAGAGAATGCTTCTGGTACATGGCCATACAGCCCGGAAAACTCACAGCAACTCTGTGATTCCAGCCATGAAAGCCTTCAACAACATATTAGGCATACATCTCCTACCAATAACTAAAAACACCAACATATACATAAATTAGTTTTGGATTTCCAGCTTCTTTTTTATTACTTTCTGTATAAATATATCATTTTTCTTCTACTTTATATCCAGCAAATTGTTTGCTTTTATTTAACACTAGCCATCCCCTGCCATGCGTTGCTGTTGCCCAGTCTGTGTATATGTGCTTTGTGTGTGTATATATGTGTGTATATATTTGTGTATATGTATGTTTGTATATATATGTGTGTGTGTGGTTTTGCTCATGCGTTGTAATGTATTGGCTCTTTAAGTCTTTTATGCTGTGTTTTTCAGTGTTTTTATGAGTGATGGTCACTCATTGGCCTGATATGTACATTGTGTCCAAATTTGGTGTCAATTCGCCCACTGGTTTTTGAGTTTTGTTAATCCCACAAGCGAACACTAAATTTTTATTTATATATATTTACAAGAGATTATCCCAACATTGTATGTCTCCAGACCTGCACATAAAGCAGGGGTCCTCAAACTAAGGCCCGGGGGCCGGATACGGGCCTTCAAGATCATTTACCTGGCCCTCACTCATGGTCAACCTAAGTCTGAAAAGCACAGCAACCACAACAACAATCCCATCTCATCAGCCAAAAGCAGGCCCACACTAATGCTTCTGGTTCAAGTTTATATTTGTTTAAATTGTTCTTCATTTTAATCATTGTATTGTTTTAAAGTGTTTTTTGCACTACAAATAAGATATTGCAGTGTGCATAGGAATTCATTCAATTTTTTTTCAAATTATAATCCAGCCCTCCAAGTTTGAGGGACTGTGATCTGGCCCTGTGTTTAAAAAGTTTGAGGACCCCTGACATAAAGTCATTCCCTTTCCTATCATTATGAACTATCGTCATTTATTTATTTTATTTATTTTATGCATTTCTACCCCGTCCTTCTCAACCCCCGAGGGGGGACTCAGTGTGGCTTACAAAGGCACAATTCGATGCCAGCATAAACATAACAATGGATAAAACATGTAAACAGCAATTATAACAATTAAGACAGTCAGTTTATACATCAAAATCAATAAAACAATAAAAACAATCTAATGCTCAACGTTCGCCATCTCAGAGTCCGTAAATTCATTCCACATTGTCAAGTACTATCGATTCTGGTCGTCATTGTCCTTATCTAACCGCCAGATTGCCCGAAAGCCTGGTCCCACAACCATGTTCTTAATTTCCTTCTGAAAGAGAGAAGGGATGTCGATGACCTAATTTCCCCGGGTGAGGGGCCACCACCGAGAAGGCCCTACTCCTCGTCTCCACAAATCTCACTTGTGATAGAGGTGGGGTCAAGAGCAGGGCCTCCCCAGAAGATCTCAAACTCCGAGGTGGGACGTAGAGGGAGATGCGTTCGGACAGGTACGCTGGGCCGGAGGCGTATAGGGTTTTGTAGGTCAAGACCAGCACTCTGAATTGTGCTCGGAACTGGATCGGCAGCCAGTGGAGCTGACATAACAGAGGGGTGGTATGCTCCCTGTATGACGCTCCAGTGACTAATCTGGCTGCCGCCCACTGAACTAATTGAAGTTTCTGAACAGTCTTCAAAGGCAACCCCACATAGAGTGCGTTGCAGTAATCTATTCGGGATGTAACAAGAGCGTGGACCATTTCCATAATACTAGACCATCCACTGAAACTGAATTCCTGAACTCTTGTAACAAAATTACCACTTTGGGAAAAATATATCAACTGCATCTTTTCCATGATTATGGGTAATAAGCTCCACAAACCAAAGACTACCTGTGAAGCCCATTTGCCAGAGGACATCTGCTTGAAGTGTCTGAGCAACTTGTCGTGGTATTGCTCTCAGCAAGCGCCTGCTCGAATGCCTGCCTGTCGCATGCCAAAATCCAGAACCCAAAGACAAACTTGCTCTTCTCAGAGGCCGAGATGACTGCCATTTTTGTGTCCATCTGGTATCATTGCAGGGGAACGCCGGATCCGCTAGAGATAGAAAAGTCACAGAGATAACTTTTAGACATGAAAAGAAGTATTCTACTATCCTGTTTCCCCCGAAATTTTGTATTTTATCCTGCAGCCAGTGACCACACGGACCCCACCGATAATCATAGAATCAAAGAGTTGGAAGAGACCTCCTGGGCCATCCAGTCCAACCCCCTGCCAAGAAGCAGGAATATTGCATTCAAAGCACCCCCAAGAGATGGCCATCCAGCCTCTGTTTAAAAGCTTCCAAAGAAATGCATCTAGAGAGAAAACTTGCCCAACATGACAAATTTTAAACACTGATGGGAATTTTAAGAGGTTAACCTGGAATGATGTGAGTTGTAGTTCACCCAGAACCTTGTGCATTTTGTAAAATTAAAAAAAAATACTTTTTCAAATAACCCGGGCAATGCCGGGCACCCAGGCTAGTTGTAATATATAATTAAAATAATATTATTGACATTAATACTTAAAATAAATGATAACACCATGTAACAAAATTTGAAAAAAAATATTTTCCTAGTTTGAAAGTGTTATTTCCTGTTTAGTTATGTGGTACTTGCTTTGAAAGTATTTTGTGGCTGCCACAAACTATGTAGAATTGGTTGAGACTCTATCAGATATTCATTGACAAACTATAGCAAAATGTGCTGCAGGATGTCCCTCCCGCAAAAACAAAGTTTTGGCGGTTTAATAAACTTTTCCCATGTTTTTATGATAGAACCAATTAGGAAACAACATTTATAACCCTGGGACAAAAATCATGTTACATAGTGTAATATAATTTAAAAATGAGTATTTGTAAATACCCAAGTGGGCACCTGTGGAGGAGAAATAAATGCCTATGTAAACAGGTGTAGATTGTCGCACATGAATAAATATAGTTCATTGTACATGAAAAAATAAGACATCCCTTGAAAATAAGCCCTGATGCATCTTTTGGAGCAAAAAAAAAATTAATATAAGACCCAGTCTTATTTTCAGGGAAATACAGTAACAAATTCCACACCATCTCATGTGTGTCTATGTATTAGGCATGAGCAATCCATGGTTCTAAATGGTTCTAAAGTACTTACAAAACTGAAGTTCTGGTGGTGAAAACTAGAGGGCACTGGTGCTTTGCTTCTACAGTGTTGCTAAAGTTCTGGTGGTAAAAATTTCTAACGAAACCCACCTCCTCCAAAATGAACTGAACCACCTCAACTGGGCTCTCCAGGCCAATGGATACTCCACCTCAGACATCAGAAGAGCTGCAAGACCAAGAACAAGCCGAGAGTAAAGATGAAGATCCACCCAGAGGAAAAGTGTTCTTGCCATACATCAAGGGAACCACTGACCGCATAGGGAAGCTGATGAGGAAACACAACACACAAACTATCTACAGACCCACCAAGAAAATCCAACAAATGCTACGTTCAGCAAAGGACAAGAGGGATCCTCTCACCTCTGCAGGAGTCTACCGTATACCATGCAGCTGTGGACAAGTCTACATAGGGACCACCACACGCAGCGCCCAAACAAGAATCCAGGAACATGAAAGGCACTGCAGACTACTCCAACCAGAGAAGTCAGCCATAGCAGAGCACCTGATGAACCAACCTGGACACAGCATTTTATTTGAGAACACAAAAATGCTGGACCACTCTCACAACCACCATGTCAGACTACACAGAGAAGCCATTGAAATCCACAAACATGTGGACAATTTCAACAGAAAGGAAGAAACCATGAAGATGAACAAAATCTGGCTACCAGTGTTAAAGAATTCAAAAATTGCAACAGCAAAAACAGCAGAGAGAAAAACAGGCAGGGACATCTAATCACCCTTCAAGAAGAGTTTGCTCCAGGCACAGTCAGCCCATTGTATGCTAATCAAGGTGGTCAGTTGAAAGATTCACACCTAGCCCAACTTACAAAAGCCCTTTGTCTCACCCTGGTCATTCCACAGATATATAAACCCCTTTTTTCCCAGTCCAGCAGACCTCACCTCTGAGGATGCTTGCCATAGATGCAGGTGAAACGTCAGGAGAAATGCCTCTAGAACATGGCCATATAGCCCGAAAAAACCCACAAGAACTGAGTTTCAAAATTTTCTTATAAATGGCAGTTCCTAATTGTTCTGCGAAAAAAAATATCGCCAATAATGAAATAATGAATTTTTGAAAGTTTTGTTAAGAGTTCTGAAATTTTCACCACCAGAACTTTAGCAACACTGTAGAAACAAAGTATCAGCACCCCCTAGTTTTCACCACTAGAACTTTAGTTTTGTAAGTACTTTAGAACCCTTTAGAACCATGGATTGCCCATGTCTACTATGTATATAGACACAACAAGACATAGGAACACCTACATACAAGTATATATAAATGTAACAATGTAATACGTAAACCAACATTCCAATGCACTTCAGTGTGGCTGGAGACCTGGACAAGTCATTCACTAAATGCCATGCTCTTACTGGCTCCTTTTTTCTCTTTGCATTATTTTTATTGAACAGAGATTAACATGAGAAAAATAGAACAAAAACAAATACACTAACAATGTTTACACAGGGCAGGAGCTATGTTTTCATGGTCTGGAAATGCAAGTGAATCCCTTTGTAATTATTTGTTCTAATGCATACATCCTTTCTGGACAGACTCATGGGTTACGGCAGCTGTTTTCCTTGTTGGTTTAATTTACGTAAAAGATAAATGAGAACCATGTTGCCTTGAATGTGTCCTTTTTGTTCATCTAATTTGCTCTGTCAGTGTTTTTGATAGTGCAAAATTCCAAAGCATAGCTCTAAGCTAGATACTGCAGAAGTACAAAAATACAAATCAATAAAAAATTGCCTAAATATTATCATGTTAAGCGATCATAATAAAAAATGCAATTTTCATAAGATATTTCTGTAAATATAATCAATGTACAATTTGTCAGAGCTCCCATGAGTATATGGAAAATATACCGTATATACTCGAGTATAAGCAGAGTTTTTCAGCCCTTTTTTTAGGCTGAAAAAGCCCCCCTTGGCTTATACTTGAGTCAAGGTTATTTATTATTTTACTCTGTTGTTATTATTTTTATTACATTTATTATTTTACTCTATTTGTTATTATAATTATTACATTCATTATTTTACTCTATTTATTATAATTATTAAAGGATTTTGGGGTTTTTTGTGTCAGGAGCGACTTGGGAAACTGCAAGCTGCTTCTGGTGTGAGAGAATTGGCCGTCTGCAAGGACGTTGCCCAGGGGATGCCTGGATGAATTGATATTTTTCTCATCCTTGTGGGAGGCTTCTCTCATGTCCCCGCATGAGGAGCTGGAGCTGATAGAGGGAGCTCAACCGTCTCTCCCTGGATTTGAACCTGCAACCTGTTGGTCTTCAGTCCTGCCAGCACAGGGGTTTAACCCACTGCGCCACCAGGAGCTCCATTATTAAAGGTTAAAAGGTAAAGGTTGTCGCCTGACATTAAGTCCAGTCATGTGTGACTCTGGGGTGTGGTGCTCATCTCCATTTCTAAGCCGAATAGCCGGCGTTGCCCATAGACACCTCCAAGGTCATGTGGCCGGCATGACTGCATGGAGCGCCGTTACCTTCCCGCCGGAGCGGTACCTATTGATCTACTCACATTTGCATGTTTTCGAACTGCTAGGTTGGCAGAAGCTAGGGCTGACAGCGGAAGCTCATGCCGCTCCCCGGAATCGAACCTGCGACCTTTCGATCAACAAGCTCAGCAGCTCAGTGCTTTAACCCATTATTTTACTCTATTATTATTATTACATTTATTATTTTACTCTATTATTATTATTATTACATGTATTATTTTACTCTATTTATTATTAGTAGTACATTTATTATTTTACTCAATATCTAAAAACAGAAAGGTTTACTTTATATAACTGTTCCAGTCTGTGACACTGAAAGAATGGATATGCTTACTTTCAGAGTACTTGAGTGAGCGAAAGACCTTTCTTTGGGGGGTAACTCGTTTGATATTGGGATGGTCTTCAAGAGTCTGCACGCCATCTTTCTGCTTCTCGTTGATCTGGATCACCTCAAAATCACTGGGATAGTCACTGGCTGGGTTGTTACGGGGCATGATCCTCCAGTTCTCAATTTCGCTGCTTCTCAGTGCCCTTGAAATAAATTTGCTTCTTGCTTGGGCTGAAAAGTAGCCATTGAAAGCCACAATATATTCTACAAGGATATAGAAAAAGCCAGATGAAACATAGAACAAGACAAATAGAATTTAATAATAATACTAGCAGTACCCGCCACGCTTTGGTGTGGCCAAACTTCCCCCTTTCTCTCCTTCTTTCCCTCCTTCCTTCACTCCCTTCCTTCCTTCCCGTCTTTCCTTCTCTTCTTCCTTCCTTCTCTATCTCTTTCTTTCCTTCCCCCTTTTTCTTTTCTTCCTTCTCTCTTTCCTTCCCTCCTTCTTTCTCTATATCTACCCCCACCCTTGGCTCCTTCTTTCCTTCCTTCTTTCCCTTTTTTCTTTCCTTCTCTCCTTCTTCCCTTCTGTAACTTTCCTTCCTTCCCCCTTTTTCTTTCCCTCCCTCTTTCTCTCCTTTCTTCCTTCTCTACCTCTTTCCTTCCTTCCTTCCTTCCTTCCTTCCTTCCTTCCTTCTCCCTTTCCTTCTTTCTTTCCCTCTCTCTTTCTTTTCTTTCTTTTTTTCTCCCCTTCCTTCCTTCCTTCTTCCTTTTTTCTGTATTGTCATGTAGCTTTCTGTCATTTATCTTTTGGGGGCTTTTAAAGTCCCTTCTGCTGTGTTTTTCAGTGTTTTTATGAGTGAAGAACATACATTGGGATGTTAGGTGCCTTGTGTCCAAATTTGGTGTCAATTCGCCCAGTGGTTTTTGAGTTCTGTTAATCCCACGAACCAACATTACATTTTTATTTATATAGATTTAGCTTAGCTTACGGTAAATATCTTTGAGATAACAGTACGCAATACAGGATACTTGTATATGGGATGGAGGCAATTCACAGAAAAATTCACATCAAACAGTCTTGCAAGTGACTGGCGCTGATCAGATACTAATACAACAAAAATACAGGTCAGTCTCAAAAAGATTCAAAACACCCAAAAAAAAAACCCACAGAGAAAAAAAGTTAGTCAAACCAAAAAAGTGAATATAAATACAACAATATTATGAAAAGAACTGTACACAAACTCAAGAGAACTAAACAGCCAAAGTCAGTAAGTAAACAATGTAACTAAAGCACATGTAGCATTATGCAACAATTACATTATGAAACTGAATGTAATATATACAACATTGCAAAAGCAGCAGATAATTGTCAGAAAGTAAACTTAAAGTAAATACAAGGATTATAGGCCTGTTTGATCAAGAAAAATTTTGTTTCTAAAATCGATTTGTAATTGGGGTGTTTTTTTGTTTCGATATTTAAAATAATTACAAAACTTTCCAAAAAAAAGTTTTGGTATTTAAGAAATTTTGTAAATATTAACGAATTTTTAGAATATTTTTGGTATTTCTTAAGAATAATATTAAAATAATATTAAAAAATATTTTAAAATGGAAAATTAACCAAAAAATGGCCCAAATGTGGACCAAACACAGGCACGAGACAGCAAATGAGAGCACACACCAACAGAAGAGTCTTTTCTTTTTTAGAATATTTTTTGTATTTTTTTAAGAATAAAAGACAGGTATTTTAAAAAAATATTCAGAAATGGAAAATTAACCAAAAACTGGCCCTGATGTGGACCAAACACAGCCACGAGACAGGGCAAATGAGAGCACACAGCAACAGAACAGTCTTTTCTTTTTTTAGAATATTTTTTGTATTTTTTTAAGAATAAAAGACAGGTATTTAAAAAATATTAAAATATTTTAAAATGGAAAATTAACCAAAAATGGCCCAAATGTGGACCCAACACAGGCAGACAGCAAATGAGAGCACACACCAACAGAAGAGTCTTTGCTTTTTTAGAATATTTTTTAAGAATAATATTAAAATAATATTAAAAAATAATATTAAAATAATATTAAAAATAAAAAAAATATTAAAATAATATTAAAAATATTTTTAAATGGAAAATTAACCAAAAAATGGCCCAAATGTGGACCAAACACAGGCGGGAGACAGCAAATGAAGCAAGCAGCACTCACAGCAGCAAGGAATGAATCCAATCCAGTTGCTAGCCATTAGCCAAGCCAACCCAATGCAAACTCCCTCGCCCTCTGCAGCAAGCTACGGGCCGCGCGGAGCCGCTTTGAAAGGGCTCGCCGGCCAATCAAAACCAGACAGCCACGGACCCATGGTGCACTGCTTGGGAGCGCCGGATTGGCTCCCATGCACCAGCACTCCAGCAGCCTCCACCCCATTAACGAAACGAGCGGAGGCTCGTTAAATCTATGGGGGTTGCTGGTTCGATATTTAAAAACCCTTCCGGGTTTGGAATATGTTTTGATATCGCTTCGGAAATGCCAAAAATAACGAATTAATAACGAATTAACGAATTAACGAACGAAACCGCACAGGCCTAAAGGATTACAGTCTTTAAAGCTTTGCTTACATTGTTTACTTATTGACTGACGGTTTCAGCTTAAGAATTATACAGAGGGTTAATAAAGTCTCTTTACCATTTAAATGGTACAGAAACTTCAAATAGTAAAGAGACTTTATGGAAATTTAAATAGTAAAGAGACTTTATGGACACCCTGTATTATTCTGTACCAATCTATATAAATAAAATTGTAATGTTCGTTTGTGGGATTAACAGAACTCAGAAACCACTGGACGAATTGACATCAAATTTGGACACAAGACACTTATTAGGCCAATGAGTGACCATCACTCATAAAAACACCGAAAAACACAGCAGAAGGGACTTAAAAAGCCAAAAAACAAAAAAACATGGCAAAACCACATATATATACACAAACACACATATACACACACACAAAATACATATAACAGACTGGGCAACAGCAACGCATGGCAAGGGATGGCTAGTATTACATAATATTATTGTTATATTATTTTTAATAGTATTATTTGATACACAACAAGATTAGTACACAGTAAACAAGATCACTATGCTGGCTTTTGGGACCATTTCAGACAATTCCCATATAATAGTGTTGTTGTTGTTATTGTATTTACATTCACATCTTCATTTAGTTTGATTTTTTTTTCTCTGTGTTTTCTTGGTGTCAGTATTGATCAGAACCAGACTACCTTCACTGTGGATTATTCAAATTCCAAATCTACTGCTCTGCTTCCATTGAAATAAAACTGTGGAGGCCAATGTAATGATCTTATAAGCGGATTTGGGAAAAAATACCTTAAAAAATGAAAATTAATTTTCTGGGGAAACCTTTCTATTTTGACTACTGATAAGAGTTAGCACTCATAGCAAGCTTAGGGAACCTGCTTCCAGACTGTTTTATAGTTTTAATGGTTGTTTTATTGCATGGTTTATGTCTAATTGTAGTGTATAATTGTAATTGTTTGTACTGGCATTGAATTTTTGCCCTTACTTATGTGTAAACCACTTTGAGTTCCCCTCGGAGTAAGAAAAGCAGTATACAAATACTGTAAATAAATAATAAATAAATAAATATTGCATTGCTCAAATGCTTGGTCCCATAACCATGTCTTAAATTTTTTTCCTGAAAGACAGGCTAGAGGAGGCTGTTCTTATTTCATTGGGTAAGGAATTCCACAGATGAGGGGCCACCACTGTAGCATTTCTCAACCTGGGGGTCGGGACCCCTGGGTGGGTCACGAGGGGGTGTCAGAGGGGTTGCCAAAGACCATCAGAAAACACAGTATTTTCTGTTGGTTATAGAGGTTCCGTGTGGGAAATTTGGCCCAATTCTGTCGTTGGTGGGTTCAGAATTGTCTTTTATTGTAGGTGAACTATAAATCCCAGCAACTACAACTCCCAAATGTCAAGGTTTATTTCCCCAAAGTCCACCAGTGTCCATTTGGGTATATTGAGGATTCATGCTCAGTTTGGTCCATATCCATCATTGTTTGAGTGCACAGTGCTCTCTGGAGGTAGGTACAACTCCAAACTCAAGGTCAATGCCTGCCAAGCCCTTCCAGTATTTTCTGTTGGTCATGGGAGTTCTGTGTGCCAAGTTTGGTTCCACTTGATCATTGGTGGAGTTCGGAATGCTCTTTGATTGTAGGTGAATTATAAATCCCAGCAACTACAACTCCCAAATGACAAAATCAATCCCCCCAACCCCACCAGTATTCAAATTTGATACCAAATTTGGTTCAGTTAATGAAATTACATCCTGCATATCAGATATTTATATTACGATTCATAACAGTAGCAAAATTACAGTTATGACGTAGCAATTAAAATAATGTTGCGGTTAGGGGTCACCACAACATGAGGAATTGTATTGAGGGGTTGCAGCATTAGGAAGGTTGAGAACAACTGCACCACTGAGATGGCCCTTTCTCTTGTCCTCAACAGTCGTGCTTCGAAGGGTGGTGGGACTGAGAGCAACACCTCCCCAAATCCCACAGAAGCCAGGCCTGTAGCGAGGGGGTGGTTTTAGGGGTTCAACCCCCCCCCCGAAATGTTTCAGATTTTTTAAAAAAACCCTGGTTTACTCATGAATTTTAACTGGTTAACCAAATCCCCATGCTAAGTCTATGAGATGCAAAAATTAAGAGTCCCTCCAGAACTGCAAGCACTATCTCAAGCAAATATTGACAATTTATTCACACTGTCATTACTTGCAGCAATAGCCAATGTAGCAAAGCAACCAAGTTGGGGGGGGGGGGTTGAATGCTCTCATTAAAGGTGATGGTACTCACCTTTAAGGCCTTGCATGGTCTGGGGCTGATGTACCTGAGGGACCGCCTCACCCCCTACCAACCCCAGAGATCCCTCCGTTCTGAGGACCAAGATTTGTTGGAAATTCCCAATGTCAAGACCTTGCGTCTAACAGCAACCAGACGCAGAGCCTTTACAGCAGTGGCACCATCACTCTGGAATACTCTGCCACCTGAAGTCCGTGCCTTGCGGGACTTATCAGCTTTCCGCAGGGCATGTAAGACATACCTGTTTCGACAGGCCTTTGATCTTTGATATTGCTGTTTTTAAATTGTTTTAATTGTTTTTAAATTGTGTTAGATTTTAGCCTGTTCTTGTAAGCTGCTCCGAGCCCCAGGGGAGTGGCGGCATATAAGTTCGAATAATAAATAAATAAATAAATAAGGAGGCCAGACTTGGTGGAGGTGGTTGACAGGGGTGGAGCTGCAGGCTATTGCAGGTTGCTCTGCCCCCTGCTGTGCTCTTTGCTTCAGCGTGAGCTAGGAGGCAGGTTTCAACCCCCCGTGAAATTTTAAAAAAAAAACCCCGAAATTTTCAACCCCTCCCAAAAAAATTTTCTGGCTACGGCCCTGCCTTAATGGTTCATAGGGGGAGATATGTTTGGACAGGTAGGCTAGTATATCATTATATTATATTATAATATATTACATTATATAATTATATAATATAATATAGTATAATTATATTATACTATAAAATAAGTATAATGATTATAATAACTAAAGTATAACAGGTAGGACAGGTAGGCTAGTATATAATTATATTATATTATACTATATTATATTATTTAATTAAATAAATAATTATATAATGTAACATATTATAATATAATATAATGATATACTAGCCTACTTGTCCTACCTGTTATACTTTAATTATTATAATCATTATACTTCTTTTTAAAAGAAGGATGGAATACGGAGGGCCTTCTCAGTGGTGGCCCCTCGGCTGTGGAACTTTCTCCCTGGGGATATTAGAACAGCTCCTTCCCTCCTGGCTTTCCGCAGAAAAGTGAAAACATTGCTTTTTGAGCAAGCCTTTGGGAACCTAGTGCAATAAATAAACACTGAACTATGTGAAATCGAATACTAGATCGGCTTAGACGATGTTTTTGGATGACGAGACTAATAGTGAAGGTAGTGGTTTTATATGTTTTTAAAGGTTTTAATGTACGTATTTTATAATTCTGTTTTAAATGTTTGTTGTAATTTTTACATTGTTTTAATGGCCTATGTTGTAAAGCCACCTCGAGTCATCTTCGGGTTCGAGAAAGGCGGGGTAGAAATATCTATATCTATATCTATAATAAAAGTGAATGTTTGTTTGTATGTATGTATGTATGTATGTATGTATGCGGAGGGCAGAAATGTATGTGGCAGCTTTCTGATTGGCTCTTCACTTTCACAGGCCACAGAGACTTGCACGAGCGACGGACCTGGACCAAACCTGGCACACATAACCCCCATGTCCTCCTGTATATCCTGGTGAGGTATGGGGGAGGATGGACAAAGGATGATGGATTTGTAGTACTTTCAACCCCTTCGGCTCTGACAGACCACTGTGGCCCCCAAGAAAGACCGATAAAGACCAAACTTGGCACATAGAGCCCCCGTGACCCAATCTACTTCCTGCTGCAGTTTGGAGGAGGGAGGACCATGGATAATGGGACTTCAAGTACCTCCACTCACTTCCCGAGACCGCTGCGACCCTCATTCGATGACTGATCAAGACCACACTTGGCACACATAACCCCCATGACCCCCTTTAGTTCCTGGTGAGGTTTGGGGAAGGACAGACAGTGGATGATGGGATGTGTAGTACTTTCCAAACCTTCGGTTCCCACAGAACTCTGCAGCCCCCAACAAAGACTGCACAATGGGATTCGCAGTACCTTCACTAACTGATAACTGATAAAGAACAGCTTTGCCACACAATGCCTTTCTCAAATAACCTGGGCAGCGCCGGGTCCCCAAGCTAGTTGTAAATAAATAAATACTTTGGCAATTTCCAATGACTACCGTAAAACATGTCACTCATAAAAAATAAAAGATTCTTTACCATGCTCCACGACTGTAGAAGAGAACTCCACTTTCAGGGTCAGACGAGAGCATTCAGGACACAGGTGACTGTCATGAGAAGAATTGCCAGGTTTGGTTGTCAGGTACTGTTTGCCACACAGTAAGATTGCAGCCAAAAACAACCAGGTGTTTGCAAGCCTCATGGTCCTGAACGGATGCGGTTTCATCTCCCAAATGGCATGGATTCAATTAATTAATATGTTGCTTTGCCATGGATCAGGTCTCACTTTCCTTCTTCTTTTTTTCTTTTTTTTCCTTTCAGAAAACCGTCTTTTTAAGTGCTAAGTCTTAAGTTTTTGTCCAAGATAAATAAAAGCCGTGCCTTCATTGTCTTTTCCAATGAAGCCCCAGAAACAGGCTCATTTCTTTCTACGTTTCTTCTCCATCTTTTGATTAAAAGATCCAGTCACTCAGGATTCAGCAGCTGAGTCCTGTACTCCATTCTGGATAGATTAAATTAAATCCACAATAAAATTAGGCAAGAAGCATTTTCCTGCTGGATTGCTGTTGTCCAACCAAACCTGTAAAATATACAAATTACATCGATCAATTAGTTCTGCTACAGTATAATGACAAACAACAAAATGATTTAAGAAAAATGTGATTCTGTTCTCTAGATAGGTATAAGAAGCAGTAAAGCCTATATAGGAAGTTTGGAAGAGTTCTATAGGTTCTTATAGGACTTTTACTATATATATATATATATATATATATATATATATATATATATATATATATTAAGGTAAAGGTAAGGTAGTCCCCTGACATTAAGTCCAGTCATGTCTGACTCTGGGGTGTGGTGCTCATCTCCATTTCTAAGCCAAAGAGCCAGCGTTGTCCGTAGACACCTCCAAGGTCATGTGGCCGGCATGACTGCATGGAGCGCTGTTACTTTCCCGCCGGAGCGGTACCTATTGATCTACTCACATTTGCATGTTTTCGAACTGCTAGGTTGGCAGAAGCTAGGGCTGACAGCGGAAGCTCACGCCGCTCCCCGGAATCGAACCTGCGCCCTTTCGATCAACAAGCTCAGCAGCTCAGTGCTTTAACCCACTGCGCCACCGGGGGCTCCATATATACATATACACATACACACACACACACACGTGTATGTGTGTGTGTGTGTATATATATATAAATATACTTCATTTATATACCGCTTTTCTCAGCCCATGGGCGACTCAAAGCAGTTAACAATAGCAAAAATTCAATGCTTGATATCATAAAAACAGTTTAAAAAACTATTAAAATAATAACATAATAAACAGTTAAACATCAATATAACATCTCATTAGCGTCTCAAGTAAAATCAAGATCCAATCTCATCATCCGTTGTTCCGTATTCCTATGTTCATTACACTGCCTATTCAAATGCCTGGTCTTCACTTTCCTCCGAAATGCCAATAGGGAGGGGGCCGATCTAATTTCTGTAGGAAGGGCATTCCACAGCCGAGGGGCCACCACTGAGAAGGCCCTATCTCTTGTCCTCGCCAGACGTACCTGTGATGCAGGCGGGACCGAGAGCAGGGCCTCCCAGGGCCTCCCCAGATGATCTTAATGTCCTAACTGGTTCATAGGAGGATATCCGTTCGGACAGGTAAGTTGGACCCCTCCCCCCCATCACAAACTACTGCACCGGGCAAGAGTGAAGAGAGAGAGGGCCAGGGGACAGTTCCATCTTGTCTCCTGTGCTATGTTAATCTAAACAAATAAAAATGTAATGTTCGTTTGTGGGATTAACATAACTCAAAAACCACTGGACGAATTGCCCCCAAATTTGGCCACAAGACACCTACTAATCCAATGTATGTCCTTCACTAGAAAAAAATATGATTTTGTCATTTGGGAGTTGGAATTGCTGGGATTTATAGTTCACCTACAATCAAAGAGCATTCTGAACCCCACTTGAACCAAACTTGGCACACAGTTCTCCCATGACCAACAGAAAATACTGGAAGGGTTTGGTGGGCAGTGTCCTTTGGTTTTGGAGTTGTAGTTCACCTACATCCAGAGATCACTGTGGACTCAAACAATGATGGATCTGGACCAAACTCTACACAAACACTCAATATGCCCAAATGTGAACACTGGTGGAGTTTGGGGAAAATAGAATCTTGACATTTGGGAGTTGTAGTTGCTGGGATTTACAGTTCACCTGCAATCACAAAGCATTCTGAACCACACCAACAATAGAATTGGGCCAAACCTCCCATATAGAACCCCCATGTGGGCTACCGCAATGCGTGGCAGGGGACGGCTAGTTTATATAAATAAAAATGTAATGTTCGTTTGTGGGGATTCACATAACTCAAAAACCACTGGACGAACTGCCCCCAAATTTGGCCACAAGACACCTACTAGCCCAATGCATGTCCTTCACTCAAAAAATTGATTTTGTCATTTGGGAGTTGTAATTACGGGGATTTATAGTTTACCTACAATAAAAGAGCATTCTGAACTCCACCAATGATGGAATTAAATGAAATGTGGCACACAGGACTCCCACAACCAACAGAAAACACTAGAAGGGTTTGATGGGCATTGACCTTTAGTTTGGTAGTTGCAGTTCACCTACATCCAGAGAGGAATGTGGACTCAAACAATGATGGATCTGGACCCAACTTGGCACAAATATTCCATATGTCCAAATATGAAGACAGATGGAGTTTTGGGGGAAATAGACCTTGACATTTGAGAATTGCAGTTACTGGGATTTATAGTTCACCTACAGTCAAAGAGCATTCTGAACCACACAAACAATAGAATTGGGGCAAACTTCCCACACAGAACCCCCATGACCAACAGAAAATATTTAAAGCCATCCAGTCCAGCTCCCTTCACCAGGGCAAGAAAATGTAATCAAAGCCCTCCTGACAAAGAGACACCCAGTCATAAATATAGATAATAGATACGATTCACACAAACACAGATATAGTATCATAGATTTGAAAGGGACCCCTAAAAAAGGACAATGATACATTGCATGTTCCAGAGTAGGCAAACCAGACACTCACCACATCAATACTGACAAAGAAACAACAAGAAATACTTTTAACACACAAGAAAAAAGAAATTACATATATTAGAAACCAACACTTTCTCATTACTTCATTTTCCAGATCACCAGACTGGGCCACAGCAACGTGTGGCAAGGAACGGCTAGTAATATAATATAATATAATGTAATATAATATATTTTATATACATATAATATTTATAATATTATAATGTAATGCAATATACTACTAATAATAATATATTATAATTACATATTTATATTACATGTAATATTACTAATATCATTACAATATAATGGTATAATACAATATAGTAATATTTAATACTGTTATCGCATTATGCTAATAATATAATATATTGGATGCATATATATTTTGTAAGCTGCTCCGAGTCCCCTTTGGGGTGAGAAGGGCAGCATATAAATGTCGTAAATAAATAAATAAATATAATAAACCAATTTTGAAAATTAGATCTCTATTTTTTCTCTGCATGCCTCAAAAAATGCTATACTATCAGCCAGGGCAATTAAGTCTGCTGAAGTAAAGAGAAAGCTGAAAGTGACATACCTTGGTGATATTCACCATGCAATCCCTATGTTCGTCTTTTCATGTCTTTATAAAGATAAAGTTTACTGATAAAGTTATTCAAACGGAGATCAAGACTTGCAAGTCTTCCTTTAACCAATGTCTCTTGCTTCGTTAAATTATTATAGACACTTTTGGCAATGAGTCACAAATCACAACCTGAACTAGCTAGGTATTTCTGATTGGGGTAAAAAACAAAAAACAAAGCACCAACACATCCTTTGAAGTTGCTAGAAAAAAATTCAAGTTAGGCCACATTTTTATCTGAAGGAACAGTTTGTACTTGGGTTAAAATCATACAGAACATGTCGTGAGCCATCTCATGTCCCATTCTAGGGAAAGGTGAGATATAAATAGTCAATAAAAGAAGAAAATAGTTTTCTTGAAGTAATTACTACACTGTGCAATTACAGGTTTGGTTTCTGATCTATTTCCATTTTTTTTAAAAAGCCTCATTGCACAAGTAACTATTCAAAGTGCTGGCTTTAGCCTATAAAGCCCTAAATGGTTCCGGCCCAACTTACACCAAATGGGGAAAGCGAGGAGGAGCTGAGGAGCCTTCTAATCAAGGTGAAAGAAGAAAGCGCAAAAGCTGGGTTGCAGCTAAACATCAAAAAAACCAAGATTAAGGCAGCAAGAATGCTTGTCAACTGGAAAATAGAGGGAGAAAATGTGGAGGCAGTGACAGACCTTGTATTTCTAGGCGCAAAGATTACTGCAGATGCAGACTGTGGCCAGGAAATCAGAAGACGCTTCCTTCTTGGGAGGAGAGCAATGACCAATCTCGATAAAATAGTAAAGAGTAGAGACATCAGACTGGCAACAAAGATCCATTGCCTAGTCAAAACCATGGTATTCCCTGTAGTAACCTACGGATGTGAGAGATGGACCTTAGGGAAGGCTGAGCGAAGGAAGAGAGATGCTTTTGAGCTGTGGTGTTGGAGGAAAGTGCTGAGAGTGCCTTGGACTGCGAGAAGATCCAACCAGTCCATCCTCCAGGAAATAAAGCCCGGCTGTTCACTGGAGGGAAGGATACTAGAGACAAAGCTGAAGTACTTTGGCCACATCATGAGGAGACAGCAAAGCCTGGAGAAGACAATGATGCTGGGGAAAGTGGAAGGCAAAAGGAAGAGGGGCCGACCAAGGGCAAGATGGATGGATGGCATCCTTGAAGTGACTGGACTGACCTTGAAGGAGCTGGGGGTGGTGACGGCCGACAGGGAGCTCTGGCGTGGGCTGGTCCATGAGGTCACGAAGAGTCGGAGACGACTGAACGAATGAACAACAACAACAGTGAAATCAGGGGCAGGATTCAAAACGATCTTGACAGATTAGAGAGATGGGCCAAAACTAACAAAATGAAGTTCAACAGTGACAAATGCAAGATACTCCACTTTGGCAGGAAAAATGAAATGCAAAGATACAGAATGGGGACAATGCCTGGCTCAAGAGCAGTACGTGTGAAAAAGATCTTGGAGTCCTCGTGGACAACAAGTTAAACATGAGCCAACAATGTGATGTGGTGGCAAAAAAAGCCAATGGGATTTTGGCCTGCATCAAGAGGAGCAGTGTCTAGATCAGGGGTCCACAAACTTTTTAAACAAAGGGCCAGGACACAGTCCCTCAAACAGTTGGCGGGCCGAATTATAGTTCGAAAAAAACATGAATTAATTCCTATGCACACTGCAAATACTTTATTTGTAGTGCAAAAAAATAAAATAAAAACAATACAATAATTAAAATTAAGAACAATTTTAACAAATGTAAACTTATTAGTATTTTAATGGAAAGTGTGGGTCTGCTTTTGGCTGATGAGATAGGATTATTGTTGTTATTGTGTGCTTTCAAGTAGTTTCATACTTAGGTTGACCGAGAGTGAGGGCCGGGTAAATGACCTTGGGGGGCCGCATCCAGCCCCC